TTCTCCAAAGCTCTTTTTTACTTTGCTTCTGCTCTTCCTAGATTTGGTAGCTTCAGAAAGTCTTTAAGAACAATGGATTGAACATCCCTTGAAGTCAAAAGATAAAGAGGTTAATACATATCTAGTCCTGGGATGCATATGTAATAGACAAATCTATAATGTTTCATCCTGGAATTAATGATTTATAGAGAACTGGACTATTCACTTAGCATTAAATTAGGTTTGTCTTATTTAGTCAGAACAAGGCTTCCTGACAAGATGTGCATCACAGCCTTAGCTGATGAGTGACTTTCTTTGTCAGGATGAGCATGAATTATTGATTAGACCTTTGTAACACTGGCCAGGCAGATGATGGAGAACTATTTAATTTTTTAAATATTTGTATTCAGACATACATGCACAAAAGAAATTTTCAATACTGTACTTTAATGCTGAATCACTTAATCATTCCACAAATATTTATGAAAATATTCATAATTCAACATGAACTAAATCACAGTATAAGATTATTTTTCAGGAAAAAAGAAAGAATATTCTCTACTTGTGAATTTAAATGTTTCCCTTCTTTTGTTGTATTTATGCATGTTTTAGGTTCAGATGTTTAATTTTTTTTTGTTTGTACCAGGAATTGAACTCACAACCTCACACTTGCCAAGCAGGTGCTATGCTACTGAGTTATATACCCAGGCCCAGATGTCTAATTTTTAAAATAGGAAAAGAAAATCAAAAAAGAAAAATTTTCCTCCCATCATAAAGAATCGACCATCTGAGGTACTATGTATTTTAGTAACGATAACATATTTCTGTAATATGTTTAATTCTGTCAAATGTTTTCTGCTCAATTTTCTTAATGTTAACTAGTTAACTAGCACTTAGTTTGCACCAAAACTAGCACTTAGTTAGCATTAGTTTGGTACTAATGTTAATGTGGATTACTGTATTCAATTCTCAAACAAGATATTGTTATCTCCATTTGATGAATGAAGAAACTAAAGTGTTAGAAAGATAACTAGCTTTTACAAAGACACATAGAGATAGAATTTAAACATATATTTTTTAATGTTTTATTATTTTGAAGGAAGTAACATACAACAGAACAAGACAGAACAAAGCCAATTTAGACAGTACAGTGAAATTGGTACAGAACTTCACAGCAGGTTACCGGGATATGGTAATAGGTACCATAATATATCTCATTATCTTCACAATAGTTGTTCTTTCAGTCAGGTATAGCAAAATAAAATGAAATACAGAACCTTATAGAACTTATCAAAACAGAATATTAAATACAGCAATACCATTAATCAGAATAAAGAAAGCAGTGGTAAAAATACTTGCCTTCAAAGACCATATTGCATGTGGTCAGCTTCCCAAGAGATGCTCAGATCTCTGGTACCCATTTGCTAATGGGGGTGGGCTGTTTGAGTCTCAGCTCATGAACCAGTAGGCTCACTAAAGCTTACAGGGAGGCAAGCTGGTTGCTTGGTTTCCAAGCACTCTAAGTTCCAACATGGTGCAGACCTCAGTAAACACATAATATTGGGGAGGGAATGTCACTCAGCTGCACAAGCACCTGTGTGGCAAGCACAAGGTCCTGAGTTTGATTTCAAGTACCCCCTTACTCTCAAGAAAACCCCCCAAAACAAAACAAAATACAGTTACTTGGAGCCCAAGTCTTTAACTCATATTCTACATAAGGTCTAGAAATCTGGTTGCTATTCAAAAATTTCATAGGTCATCTGCATAAAAATGAGGTATCCTACCAGTAATTTATTTAGTCATGGATTATTGTCTCCATTTATGAAAGGGGGAATGTAAAACATAGATAAAATGTTATGACACAGATATGTTGCTTTATATTAGGCCACAATTCTTTCATCACCAAGTGACATTAAAATATTATCCCTAGATGAGGTAGCACTTTTACAAAAAAACTTTCTTTTGAATCTTTCTACAATATTTCATTTGTAAAGGAAACAACTTTTATATAATAACGGTAAGTATAAAAATACAAAGTATTTAATTTTATCTAAATAAGACTGTAAACCTACAAATTGGTGAGGCCTGAGAAAAACAACTTTCAGTCCTGTTTGAAGGCATCCCTCTCCACCCTCCAAGTTGTAGAGACATGACTAAGAGCCAGAAAATGGAGAGAAACCTCCTTTACCTCCAACCCACCACAGAAATCTCCACTTTAAAGCCTGAGGTGGGAGAGCATATCTATTTACAAACAAATGTCCCAGTTTTGTGCCGTGCTTGAGCCCAGGAAAATTCATCCAAATGTAAGCCCTAGTAAATGCAGTCCAGCCCCTTTGGTTTCCAGACAGCTGGTCTCCTCTTCAAGATCAGAGCACACTATGTAGATCAGCTCCATCTCCTTCCTTTTCTTTTCTTTTAAAAATTTTTTTAATTTGTAATTTAAAAAGAATAAAACCAAGCAAAATAAGACAGAATAAATCCAATCAAAACAAAACAGTGAAAGTAATACAGGGCTTCAAAACATGATAATGGGATATCAATCATTGCTACTATAATGCCTCTTGTTATCTTCAAAATTGCTTCCCATATCATCAGACATAATAAAATCAAACAAAACGGAACAGAATAAAACCAATCAAAACACAATACTGAATAAACAAAACAATAAAATGGAGCAAAAATAAACAGTAAGAACAATATTGGATTTCAAAAATGAGATAGAAGAAAATGCCCCGTAGTTGCTATATTGCATATTGTCATCCTCTGAATACATGCTCAGACTAGGGCTTTAGGCCTTCAAAGTCAATTAAACAATATAAGCATTAAATTGTTTTTGTACCTTAGCTGCTATCAACTCGGTCTGTGACCCTCTGAATTAGCTGGTTGCTTATTTGGGGTGGGGCTCAGCTCTTTTTGCTCCCAGACCACACACCAACTGGCTCATGGGAAGGGTGCTTCCTGTTTCTCCTCTTGGCTCACAGTTACTGTTGAGTCACGGGAAAGGGAGCTTCTTCTTTCTCCACCTGACCCACAATTAATTTGGAACATTTTAAAGGCTAAATTTTCTGTTATTTCTGCATATGTATTCAATACAGCAAATATTTCCCATTCCTGCTATATTGCATTAACATTATTTAAATTGTATGTGCCTGTGAATCATCTGAAGATTCTGTGGATGTGGGGCTGGATCCATGATTCTGCATTTATAATGACTTTCTAGATGCTTCTAGGGTACCAATGTGACTTATGGAGGTAGGGGGTAGCTGTGATGGGAGCCTGGGCTCAGCTTCTAGCTGCCCACCTGTGGCTATTCCTAGGTTTTGCAATGTCAATTTGTGGCCCTCATTGAATGGCACCTGGTGAACTCTTGTGAGTCTTGTGAGACTCACAAGTCTCTTGCAGCCTCTTTACAAGGAGTTCTGTACAGACAGAATTATGCAGAGTTTGTCAATGAATGTAATTTGTTTAAAAATTCCACAGAAGATCTAAGTAAGATAATTTGGCAGTGGGCATCCTTGCAAATGATTACCATTGCATTTAATTCCAAAATCACTCCGACAGGCTGAACAATTGTGTGTTGAATGAAATTCGAATAAATTCCAAGATAGAAGCTTTGAGGGGGGCAACTTCCTCATTACTTTGTAAAATCCAACTTAGTTCATCAGACCCTCACATTGTGAATGTTTGTCTTCCCTCTCTGTGACTCTCTGTATTGAGTAAACCTATTTGGCAGTTATGGAAGTTCATTCTGAGAATTTTAGTATCATCGTGCCATTCTTTAACTTCTGTGAATGGCAGAGCAATTTTAAACTGCTCCACTGGAATAAAATCACAAAGTTAATAATCTCTGCTTTTTTTGAGTAATTGTAAAAATGGTATCCTGGTAACAAGGCATTAGCAGAACACCGAATTCTATCAATTTCCATAGTGACTGGAAGAATTTCACTGCAAGGTTCTTTCTTTCCCTTGACTCATATAGGACTGGGGCAAGCTATGGGCTCTGCACTCTGCAGTTGACCTCTCAGAATTTAAAAGTACTGTTCCTCCAGAGCTATTTGCTACAAACACCAGCATACAATACTCTTTTCCTGGCTTGAATGATAGACCATGACACACATTGCTTTGCACCTTGCTTCGTTTAACAGTGAAGCTGATTGTTTTATATGTACACATTGAGATTCACCTTGTTGATTTTAAGGATTTTGTGAGGTTCAGCTACAGAAGTTCATACTTTATTCATCAATTACATGTCAATGGGCATTTATAATATTTCTCAATTTCTAAATTTGCAGTTTTAAGAGGTAGCAAGGAGGGGGCTGGGGATTTAGCTCAGCAGCATAAGAGCCTGCCATGCAAGTGCATGGTCATAAGTTCGATGCCCGGTACTGAAAAAAGAAAAAGAAAAAGAAAAAAGAAGCAGCCAGGAGAAGAAAACTCATGCAAGGTGTTAATTCTGGTGTCTCTTCTTGAGTTTCCTGGAAATGTTTCCTAAGAAGATAATTCCCCTGAATCAGGGGCCATGTAGATGAGGAGAATAAGATTATTGTCTCAGTACAGGAATGAATAAGCCATGTTCACATGTCACAGACTAAGAGGGAAAGGCCACCCCACTTCAGCAGTGGCATGGATGAGCTCACAGTCCCTTCACCAAGGGAGGGAGGGAGGCCACAGGTTAGTGTAGCCAACCTAGCAACTAGCCAGGCACAGTTCTGAGGAACCCAAGGTAAAGGAAAAGATTGAGCTCATAGGAAAAGGCTGGGGCTTATGTGATGCTACTTGGAGTCCTGGCTGAGTGAGCAGAGATGCTTCTAAGAACCACTTGTCCTGTCTTGGTTTTTGTGTTTTCAGCAGGCTGTATATATTTGGTGATGTGGATGAACTTGCAATTTCAGTATCTTTATAGGTATTTACTGGTGTCTGTGTCTGGCAAGAATTGATGAAATTTCTCTGGTTCTCTGAATCCTTACAATTGCCCAGTTGTCATTTCTGCCCTCCTCTCCTGGTGGCACTTGGAAGCCTAGATGTTCCACACAGAGCATCTTGTCATCTTGCCTGTCTGTGTGTCTGTCATCTCCTGTCTCTGCTGGCTTGTCCCCTTCAGGTCCTTGTCATCACCTGCCTGTGTGATGCATCGGCCTCTCTCTGCATATGGCACATCTGCCTGTAAGTTTGTTGAGGGCCATGGCTTACACAGAACTTTCTAAATCATATCCCAGACAAGGCCTCATATACTCCAAAACCTTAGATGGCTCCATGGGCCAGAGAATACTGCACTGTTCTTAGCTGGGCATTAAATGGGCTCTCTGAGCTACTTTACCCCAACCCACCCACCCCTGTTCCAGCTCCTAGCATTTCCCAGGAGTGACCCCCCCCCTTGTTAACTTGGTCACTACAAAGGATCAAATTCAGGACCTCTTCACCTCCATTCAAGTTTATTCCACTGCTCTTCATCCTTAATACAAGACAAGGAATTCCAAAAACCAACTGCCATATCCTGCCTCAATGATGTTGACATAAACCACATAGGTACCAGCAGAGCACTGACAAATACTTAACTGTGAGAACCGAGGACAAAAATTTTGAGTTGAAGATCAGTCTTACTGATTTTTGCCTGATCCAGTTATTTGATTTGCTGCCAAGTTTTTTGTTGTCATTTATTTGTTTTTACCACCAGAAAGTTTGCCACTGTGCTTCACAGGAAAGAATTTAAGGTAGATTAAAAGTTAAGGAACACAATTCTTGTCTTGGTTTTTGTCCCTTACAGTTCTCTGTTGTGTTACCCTCCCAACCATAAAACCAGATTTATAACTCAGTCACTTCTGAATGTTTTCCTTTGGGTTTTACATTTTCCTTTCGGGATAACTGATAGTTGTATGCAAAGTAACTTATTTTTTTTTCAAATCCATTTTATTTAAAGATAGAAAGAAAAAGAAGAAGAAGAAACAAAATCTTAAAACACATCAATCAGGGGGCAACAATGGTCAATATATTGTGCATTGTTACCCTCAAATTATTCACTAGAGTACAAGATATCTAAATTCAATTGTCCAAACAATGCCAGCACAAGTATTTCTCTTCAGTGAACTCAGAGAAATTAGTATAACTATCTTAACAATTTTATATACATATACATTAGTTTTTCTTTCAGCTTGTCACACTAATGAAACAATATTTTTACACATGTGAGTCTTATTTATTTCACTATTGAGGATGTTCTCAAGTTGCATACATTTACCTATAAAAGTGTCCAGTTTATCTTTCTTTATTGCCGAGTAGTATTCCATTTGTATAAAAATACCACATCTTTTTTATACTTTCCTCAGTCAATGAGTATTTAGGTTGTTTCCAAGATCTGGCTAGTGCTGCTATAAACATGGGTGCACATATATCACTGTGGTAAGATTTTTAAAATTCATTTGGGAAGATACCCAGAAGGGGAATAGCTGAGTTGAATGGGACCTCTAATGCTGTTTTTTTAAACATATCCACACTGATTTCCACAATGGTTGTACCAGTCTGCATTCCCACCAAGAGTAGAGAAGGCTTCCTTTTCTCCTGAAGCCCATTCAGCATTGGTTATTTCTTGATATCTTGATAATAGTCATTCCTTCCAGGGTGAGGTAGAATCTGTTTTTCTAATTAGCATCTCTCAAATGACAAGTGATATTGAATAATTTTTTACATATTTGTTTGCTGTTTATATTTTTTCATCTGAAAAGTGTGTATTCATCTCAGATGCCCATTTTTGGATAGGGGCTAATTTAAATTGGGAGCATCTTGATTTTTTTTAGTTCTTTTTATGTTCCTGATAGTAATCCTTTGTCTGAGGAACAGCTGGCAAACATTTTCTCTGACATAATGGGTTGTCTCTTCACTCTGTGAAGAGTGAAGCATTTCTCTTGCTGTGCAAAAGCTTTTCAGTAGGATGAGATCCCAGTTGTTGGTTCTTTGTGATAGTTCCTGTACGGTCTAGGTTTTGTTCATAAAGTCTTTACCTACACCAATGTCTTTGAGAGTTTTACCTACTCTATCTTCTAGCAATTTAATGTTTCTGTTTTAATATTAAGGTCTTTGATCCATTCTGACTTTAGCTTAGTACACAGTGAAACATATGGGTCCAGTTTTAATCTTCATCATGTGAAGAGCCAATTTTTCCAGTACCATTTAATAAAGAGGCTGTCTTTCTTCCAGTGAAGTTGTTTGGCAACTTTGTCAAAGATAAGGTGTCTGCATCTTCTAATCTGTTCCATTGATCTTCATTCTGTTTTATTTTTGCCAGTACCATATTGTTTTTATCACAGTAGCTTTATAGTATAATTTCAAATCAGGCATTGTGATGCCCCTTGCCTTGGCTTTGTTGCCCAGAATTGCCTTTGCTATTCTAGATCTCATTTGGTTCCAGATAAATTTTAGGATTTTTTTTTAATTCTGTGAGACATGCTATTGGAATTTTTATTGGGATTGCATTGAATCTGTATAACAGTTTTGGAAGTATGGCCATTTTCACAATGTTGGTTCTTACTATTCAAGAGCACGGGATAACTTTCCAATTTCTAATATCCTCTTCAATCTCCTTTTTCAGAATACTGTAGTTTTTCAATGTAAAGGTCTTTTACATCCTTTGTTAGATTGATTCCTAGGTATTTCTTTCTTTTTTTTTTTGGATGCTAATGTAAAAGGCATTGTTTCTCTGATTTCTCTCTCAGTGTGTCTGTTATTCACATATAGGAAGGCTATTGATATTTGAATGTTGACTTTATTAACCAGGTACATTACCGAATTTGCTTATTAAATCTAGAAGTCTTTTGGTGGAGTTTTTGGGGTCTTGTAAGTAGAGTATCATATCATCTGCAAATAATAATAGTTTAACTTCTTCCTTTCCTATCTTTATTCCTTTTATTTCTTTCTCTTGTCTAACTGCTCCAGCTAAAATTTCCAGGATTATGTTGAATAAGAGTGGAGACAATGGACATCCTTATCTTGTCCCTGATTTTAGAGTGAAAGCTTTCAGTTTTAATATTATAATGGCTGTTGGTTTGTCATAGGTGGCTTTTATTAGATTGAGATAAAGACTACCTATTCTAATTTTCTTGTAGAGTTATCGTGAATGGGTGCTCAACTTTGTCAAAAGCTTTTTCTGTATCTATTGAGATGATCATATGAGATTTGTCCTTGGCTCTATTAATATGGTGTATTACATTTATGTATTTACATATATTGAACCATCCCTGCATCCCTGGGATGAATCCCACTTTATCATGCTGTACAATCTTTTTGACAATTTGCTGTAGTCTGTTTGCCAGTATCTTACTGAGGATTTTTGCATCAATGTTCATTAGGGAGACTGGCCTGTAATTCTCTTTCTTGGATCTTTTTCTGGTTTTGGAATCAGTGCAATGCTTGCTTCCAGGAATGAATTTGCAAGTATTACTTCCCTTTCAATTTCATTAAAGAGTTTGAGAAGTAGTGGTTTTAGGTCTTCATTAAATTTCTTGTAGAATTCGGTAGTGAATCCATCAGGGCCTGGGTTTTTCTTTGTTGATACTTTTTTATTACATCTTTGATTTCATTGATTGATATTGGTTTATTTAGGATTTTTATATCTTCTTGATGCAGCTTTGGTAATTCATATGTATCTAGTAATTTGTCCATTTCTTCTGTATTTTCTATCTTAATAGAATACAAGTTTTCAAAGTAGGTATAGATGATTTTCTGTACTTCTGCAGGGTCTGTTGTGATTTTGCCCTTTCAATTCCTAATTGCACAGGTTGGAATCTTTATAATTTCCTCCCTTGTATGAGCTTTTGGTTTGCTGGTTCTTTTTTTTCTAGAAACTATAAACTAAGCTGTTTATAGGTTCTTGCTTTGCTTTCCTGATATAGGTATTTACTGCTATAATTTCCCTCTTAAGACTGCTTTCATTGTGTCCCACAAGTTCCAGTATGTTACATTGTCACTCAACTGTAAGAACTTCTAATTTCTTCTTTAATTCCATCTGTGACCCACTGGTTATTCAGTAGGGGGCTATTCAATTTCCATGTATTTATGAAGTTCTTATGGTTTCCTTTGGCATGGAGTTCCAATTTCTTTGCACTGTGGTCTGATAGTATGCATGGGATAATTTTAATTCCTTTGCATTTACTTAAGCATGTTCTATGAGCCAGTATATGGGTTATTCTGGAGAATGTCCCATGTGCAGCTGAAAAGAATATGTATTCTGATATTATGAGGTGCAACACTCTATAGACATCTACTAAACCCATTTGTTCAAAAGTTTGTGTTCATTCTAATATTTCATTATTGATTATTTTGTCGAATTGATTTGTCTTTTTGTGACAGTGGGATGTTGAGGTCCCACAGTACAATTGTATTAGGGGTTATTTGATTTTTCATGTCCACTAGTAATTGTTTTATACAGCTGACTGCACAGGTATTTGTTGCATTTATATTTATGATTGTTATCACTTCTTGAATTGTTTCCTTTATAAGGATTTAGTGACCTTCTTTATCTCTCTTAGTCAGTCTTGGCTTGAAATTCACTTTGTCTACAAATGAATAGCTACTGTGAATTTTCTTTTTTAAAATTTCATTTTGAAGGTAGCAAAAATACAACAGAACAAGACAGAACAAAGCCAATCGAGACACTGCAGTGAAATTGTACAGAACTTCACAGCAGGATATTGGGATAGTAGTAATAGATAATATAGTATATCTCATTATCTTCACAATAGTTGTCCAGTCCAAAAACAGAACATAATAAAACCAATTGAAAGAGAGTATTGAATAAAGCAAAACAAACATGACAAAACAAAACAGTGAAAACAACCTCTGCCTTCAAACAGAAGATAAAAAGAAACCCTCATATTTGCTCTATTGCATATGGTTGTCCTCCCAAGAAATGTTGAGACATCTATTCTCAGTTGCTCCCAGTGGGTGAGTGGGGGGGTGGGAGTGTGTTTGATTCTCAGCCTGTGCACCAGTAGGTTCATGGGAGCTGCTGGGTCTCCTCCTGGCCCATGCCAGGGGCACTTACCAAGAGGGTGGGCATGAATTTTCTTTATTCTGGTTGCATGAAGAATTGTTTTCCATCCTTTGACTTTTAGTCTACGAATTTCTTTTAGAATTAAATGTGTTTCTTGTACTCAGTATATCACTGAATTTTGCTTCTTGATCCATCTGGCAGTTTGTGTTTTTTGATTGGTGAACTGAGACCGTTAACACTGATGGTTATAACTGATATGTACTGACTTATCCTTGTCATGTTTTTTTCCTCTTGTTGGCCTCCCACCACCTTTTTTCCTTTCCTCTGCTTGTTTGCTTTCCCTGGTGGACTCCTTCTGATGGGGTTCACAGAGATGTAGTCCTTATCTCTTTCTAGAACTTCCTTTGGAACATTCTGGAGTTCTGGTTTGGTGGTCATAAGTTGCCTCAGACGCTCTTTGTCATGGAAGTATCTTATTGCTCCATCAATTTTGAAAGATACTTTTGTGGGATACATGAATCTGGGTTGAAAGCAGTTTTCCTTTAGAACTTTAGCAAGCCTGCCCAGAGACCAAACTCATTGGGTTTGCTGCAGTCCAAGCAATTCCACAGGTCTCATCCCAGCTGGGAGCTGATGGCATTAGCTGGGAGCAGTTCCGGGTTCTGAGTTTCTCTGGCCTGACTTCAAAACGGCTCCTGGCTAATCACTTTCTCCTGCTGGAGAACCGAGTCTTCTGCACTCACCGCCAGCCAGTGCAGTCCTCTATATCTGCCGTTCCTTTCCACCTCCATGTCCCTCTGCAGAGGCCCCCAAGGTCACCACCTGCCACTGCCACCTTCACCGTGACTGTATATCCCCAGGTTCCTACAGCTCCTCTTGCACGGTGAGTCCGATTCTGGGCAAAGTTACCACCAGCTACCGCGTTCTTCTTTGTTGAAGTTTTTCTTTTTACTCTCTCTGTGGGCTACAATTTGAACTTCAGATTCTTCCTGGGTTCAGAGGACCCGCTTCCTTCCTTCTTGTGTTTTTCATGATGCTATATTCCAGCGTCTGGAAGGTAACTCTCAGAGAGGCTGTTTTCTCTGTTGTTTTGCACTCTTTTGTCTTCTTGGAAGCACACGCAAAGTAATTTAAAATAGTTATGACTAACTTTAAATCATGCCAGTTAACTGCATTTTTTAGGGTTTCCATCTGTGAATTACAGATGTTTTGAAATTTGTTTTTTTGTTAACAATAAATGTCTACACGCTATTTCCTTGTTTGCAACAAACACTTGTTGAAGAATGGAGTTGGCTAAACATTTTGGGTGGCTCTCAGCTTTACAAAAGAAGGGGATAGGAAGGGGAGATCCCTGTGCTTAGCTGCCAGCGTTTCTAGAGAAAGCAGGTGAGTTTCTGTGGCTCCCCTGGAAAATTCTCAAAAATAGAAAATTGGCCTATTTTTGGTAGAATGAAAAAAAGGAGGCTGACTTTAAGGTTTGTTTGAAGTGGCCCATCCTATATGAAGAAACATTTTTTTTTAAAACATAAGCTTGGACAACAAAACCCATCATTGGATATTTGGATGAAGTAAATGGAAATTAGTTCCTAACAAGGCTGCTACAAATTTTAAAAAAGAAAATCCTCTGTTATGGTCACATTTTTCCTTTGAGATGTGCACAGATTTTTAGTTTTTCAGATTCCCCTGATTGTTATTGGTTATAAATTGGCAGCCCTGTGAAACTGTACTATTTGCTTTAAATGCCTTTGGTTAAGTATTAATTCAAATTTGAGATGTTAGTTTTGCTCTTTTCATGCTGTTTTCAATTTTTGAATCAATCCATTTGTCTTGTCTTCAGTATCTGTATTCAGAAAAAAAGAGTCTCTGGATTACGGGGAGTCTTGCTATTAAAATGCAACTCCAGACCTGTTGGTGTTCCAACAGCCGGAAAAAGTGACTGAGCACCGATTGATCTTTGATCATGTGGGCTTTTCTGAGGCACGTATTGGAGGAGGCGAATGCATTTAAAGAGCTTCACGAATTATTCTGAAAACGTCGTGAGAACACAGAGTCCTCAAGGCTCTGTCCTTTCTCACCTTTCTTTGATATTGATGGATCAGGTGTGTAAGCGTGACATAGAGTCAGAGCCAGATTCCAAATAGGCTACTTCTGTGTCCTTGTTGCCTGTGACTTTGGATATTGCAATGCAAATACTAACTTGAAAAGAGCATCTTTTTCAGGGTGAAATGGAATGAGCTATATTAGACATAAAATGAGCAGATTTAGCCATAGTACCTTCTTATTGCTAAAAACCTAGATTCATACCACTCTAATTAGTAAAGTCCCCCAATAATAGCAACTCACAGAAAATGGCAACACTGACCAGACAGCGCTCCAAATGTCAGCATTGCTAGATTTCATAAGCAAAGGAGCTTCCTGAGTTGCTATTGCTTTTTGGTTTCTGGCTTCAGGGCACACTCATAAAATCTCCTCTATACTTCTGGAGAGCTAAGCAGGAATGCTGCTTCTGGATTTTGTTAGGCCAACACTTGTCCACTAACACAAGTGTGATGAGCTGCTTGTGGGAATGCAGATCCCCATAAATATGAAAAAGTTGCTAAGTACAGTATAAAGCTATTAAGTACAATATGTTTATAACTGAGAGGCAAATGTTAGCCTTTATATTAATAACTTGGGTCTAATTTTATAACAGCATTAGGGTATAGAATTGAAATCTATGGGTAATCAGAGATAAAGGAAGGTTGTATTAAGATCACTAGAATGAAATGTCAAAGCGTGTGGCTTCAGATGCATCCTTCAGCAGTATTCTGTTTGTGTGACCTTGGAGAAGTTATGTCATATCTCATCTCTGGACCTCATTTAGCCCATTTGGAAGGAGGACTTTGATTTAGAGGTAGTACTGGACCCTGTAATGATTATCAGGATTATTTTTTCTGATTGTCATAGCAATAGATTGTGCTACAGGCAATTAGTGGAGCCATGGATGTCTTACAGTACTGTGGATTTTGAAATCCAAAATTTATCTAAAATTGTTGGAGCCATTGAGGCTGAATACACATGAAGGCTGTGGCATAGCCCAGGTACGGCTGAAATGAGAATGAGGAGACTCCTCAGAGGGCTAGACAGGCCACAGCTGAGGCCACCTGGAGACTTTCTGTATATTCTTTAATTAGCATCGTCTGTTGCTCTGAGGGGTCCTTGAACCCCTCCCAAGATCCTGCTCAGGTTTCCTGAGTGTTCCACTCAACTCCTTGCTTGTTCTGATTAAAAACAGGTTTTCCAGGGTCAGTTGGCCAGCTGGATAGCAGAGTTATGAACTCTGCTGAGGATGTTAGTCTCACTGGAGCCCAAAGATCATGCTGTTTGTATCATTCCTTTAGGTCTTCACTGTGCACCCATTTGTGGGATTAGAGATGTAGGCACAGACCCCAACATAAAATGGTAATATTGCCTCAGTTGAGAAACAATGTGATGACCTTGACAGGTATAGTACAACACAAATGGCAAAGCTCATGAAAAATGAGGGTAAGCATAGGAAACAAGAAACCATTGCCAGAGAGTTTCTTCAGCTGTTTTTTTTATTTTACTTATAAAAGCAACTGTTAGTTTTCTCTCTAAAGTAACATGTTTACAGCTTTGGAATTCTGCATAGGTCCTGCTGGCCTCTAAGACATTTGTAAATCTTCATATATCCTCACTAACTTTTTCAAGAACACTTTCCTGGGGACGCACATAAATGTGTGTGTTTATTCCCTGAACCCATCCCTGCCTGGATAGCAGGATAGCCCACTCCTGCTTCTGTCTGTGGTCTTCTCCAGAACACAAATAGTGCTCTAGGAAAATAGTCACCATAGCCCCAGAATGCTCAAAAATGCTTTCATGGAAGACCTGACAGTCAGCTAAGTGCAGGGACCAGAAAATAGGACATGGTGCTCAGGAAGGCAGGTTTCCTCATTTTACAGGTAGGGAAGTCAAGGAACTCCTCAAAGATCACATAGCAAATAAGGGGCCAAGCTGTAAGAGAGTGGGGAGTCTTGGTTTTACAGGAGACCCTTCTCCAGTTTCTTCCAGTGTTTATAGATGCAGCTCTAATGGCCAAGATATAATATGAAACTCCTGGGTACCCAATACCCTGTATGCCTGGAATGTGCATTTCCCTTGGGTAGGGGAGTGTTATGGATTAAAAATGGTGGTCAGCTTAATGCCAGCTGAATTAAATCAGCATGGTGCTGAGTGTAGCTGTTCCACCTGAGGAAAGTTGCCATCATAAAAGATGTGGCAAAGAAGAGTGGGGCATTGTGGTGTCTCCTAAGTGTTGTTTAGAGCCATTGTTTCTCCTGAAGGAAATTGTCATGCTAGGTTCTCTGATATGAATCTGGCCATTCTCATTGGAGGCATTCGAGACCTTGTCACTGAGAATGGCTGTGGTTCACTTTGAGGGAGCTCTGCTCCTTAAACTGAGCATTGCTTCCTGGCTCTGGAGGGGAAGATGTGTGCTGTTTAATTTCCAGGAGAAGCTTGTCCCACTGGCTGCCCAACATGTACTGGTCTGTTTTCATTGTTGGAGGAGCTTGGGACCTCATTGTTGTTGAGGATGGCTTTGGTGCTTTTCAGGGCAGTCCTGGTCCTCATTTTGAATGTCGCTTCTTGGCTCCACTGTAGGACCCTCAACCTACTAGCACAGATCCTTCGTTTCACTGGCACAGACTTTCTAGCTTTCACCACTGAACTTTGGGCCTTCTCCACGCAGATCTTTAAAATAGACTTGCATGAGTCACTATTGCGGGCTCTCGGCCTCTAATTGGACTCATGGGAGGTATTGTCATGGGCTCTAGGTCTTCAGCTGGCTCATGTAGGACATTACTGTGGGATCCAAACCCTCAGCTGGATTTTCTAGGTTTTTAGTGTTGTGGATAGATTTTCTGCACTTTCTTGTATCATAAAATAATATAAATTCTGTGTCCTGTATTTAATTGTTCTCTTTACATTCCCTGACTACAACAGGGAGGAAGGGACCCCACTGAATTTTATTTGAAATGGACATCTAAAAACCTAACAAAAGACAGATGAACAAATAAAAACTAGTAGAAGTTTACTAACATATAGACTTTAACTGTAAGACAGACACTCAGGGAATGAGTAACTCTCAAAAGAGGTGGTTAGAATTTGAGTTTTTATAGCATCCTTAAAAGAATAGAAGTGACATCTTGGTTCATGAACTTAATTCTCTCCTTGATTCTGGCTGCAAACTGAATTGGGTAAAAACAGAAGCAAATTTAATGATTAGCTTCAGTGTTGACCTTGTGGGGAAATTTGATTTTGTTCTCATTCAGTTTGGTTTGCAACCAGAATTGTGGCAAGAATTAAGTTCATAAACTGAGGAAGCACTGTCCATTTTAAGAAAAGTGACAAGATCAAGGAAATTGCTTTGAATCTCTTGGAGCTGTATGTTGGAGGAAAACAATGATAGGACTGTATAAGCCTGGCAATGAGATGTTTTTGCAGTTGGAGAGAGAGAGGCAGGACACCTTTTGCCTCTGTGAATATTTTACTTCTAGGCAAACAGAATGGGCAGAATGCTTCCCTGCATCTGCTGTTTCTTGTCTTGGGCTCAACAATCCTTCACATTTTGGGGTGACCTAACATGATCCACCATACTGGCACCACTCTAAGAGTGCAGATCTCAAATGGCCCAGTTGGGTCTGTTCTGGGCAGGGTTACTGGACCCATTGATGATGGACAGAACTCCTTCTGTTTTAAATGACAGAAATTCAGTCAGTGGAAACAGTGATTTCATTGGCATCCGCAATGAGGAAGGATGGAGGTAGTGAGAAGGTGGGCTCAGGAAAGGCTCCTCACTCTTGATTTGACTCTTCAGTGCCT